TAAGGTTTTCCACATCGTGAGTGTGGATTGTATAGTCGGAAAGGGCGAGGAAAGAGGGATTGGAGTCACGTTAAGCGACAGTAAGAGATTCACAGCAGAGGTACAAGACAGTAGGGAAAGTTCCATTTGAGCCCACAGTTTGTCTTGTGTATTTTGGCACCAGTGTTGAACTTGGGCTAGGATTGTAGCTGCGTGGTACTTAGCGAGGTTAGGAAGGGCGAGCCCTCCCATGGATTTATGTTTATACAGGATTTGTGCAGAACATCTAGGTTTCTTATTATGCCATACGAAACAGAGGATTCGTTTTTGCATGTGGGTAAAATAAGAGGTGGGGGGAATTATGGGAAGAGTTCGAAAGATATAGAGTATTTTGGGAAGGATTAACATTTTAAATGCTGCTACTCTACCGCATACTGTAAGGTAAAATTTGGAGAGGGAAGCCAGGTCTTTAGGTATGGTTTGGAGAAGCGGTTTGTAGTTGTAGTCATATAGTTTCATTGATGAGGTTGGGAGTTGAATGCCAAGATAAGTGATGGATGAATTCGCCCAAGCATAGTGGTAAGCTGCTTGTGAAGTTAGTTGTAGAGAGGGGGAAATATTGAGACATAGGAGGTGAGATTTTGTGTTGTTGATCTTGTAATATGAGACTTCGCTAAATCGGTCTAGAAGGAGTCTTACAGCGGGAAGGGATGTTAGTGGGCGAGAGAGTATAAGGACTACATCATCCGCAAATAGACCTATTTTATTGGTTGTGGGGCCTACTTCAATGCCATGAATGTGGGGATGTGAACGAATTAGAGTCGCGAGAGATTCCATTACTAGAACAAATATAATAGGGGAAAGTGGGCACCCCTGGCGAGTGCGGAGAGGAGTCCGGAAGTGAGTACCTTTGCGTTAGGCGTGGAATATAAAGCCAAGATAGCGTTCAGTATTGGGCCTATAAAACCAAACTTCAATAATACTGCTTTCAGGAAGTCCTGTATTCAGTTTAAACTGTCTTTTTTTTTTTTTTAAATAAAAAAGGACTATTGTTTGTATTGTGAAAATAAATCAGCTTGATAAAACTTTTAGCAGTGAGAGTTACTGTCTTAAAAACCTTGTATCTATGCATAGTTTGTACTTCTTTATGTACACATGAGTAGCTATAATAGATTCACTTTAAATGGCACATGTTTTAGGGCCTATGTTTTTTGGCTTTTTTTTTTGCTTTAAACGGGTTGTGCATTCTTATACAACCCTGAGTATGCAAAACATGCTTTAATCAGGTGAAATGCAGGTAAGGAGGAGGTCAACTGCAGGTCAAATCCAAATGTGAATGATCTCGGAAGTTATATCATTGATACTTAAACCTCATTCACACAGCTGATTGTGTTCTTGTTTGAATGAGTGATTGTTTATTCAATTGTTTGCAGATAATAGATATTTATCTAATTTCTCTGGGCACCTATGAACATGCAATAGACTTTTCTTATGTAAACAATAGGGATAATAGACTTCTCATAAACATACAACCAGCCAATTCCCTTTGAATGTGCTAGCTTGGAAGCTGTTGTTCTGAGTGCATATAATTATCTGAGTGCATATAATTATCATTAACATCATAAAAGCAAGAGTCACACACGTTTTGTCATGTAGTTTTGTTTTTCTTTAATTCACTTTACTTAGCATATTTTCTTGTGTTTTTTACTGTTAGGATGGATCCCGTCAAAAACAAAAGAAAACCGTGTCCTTCAGCACAATGCCCAATAATCGAAAGATCAATAGCACAGCTGCTTGCATCTCCTTCATGATGGAGGGGTGTGAGATGAAGAAAGTGCGCTCCAACTCCAGGATGTACAATCGCTTTTTCCTTCTAGATCCAGACATGCGTTTTCTACGCTGGGAGCCATCAAAGAAAGATTCAGATAAAGCTAAACTGGAAATCAAATCCATTCGTGAGGTCCGTGTTGGAAAGAAAACTCCAGTTTTGAGAAGTAATGGACTGTCAGATCAGTTCCCAGAAGAATGTGCCTTTTCTATTATTTATGGAGAAAACTATGAATCATTGGACCTTGTTGCCAGCACCGCTGATATTGTCAACACTTGGGTTATGGGGCTCAGGTACCTGGTATCTTATGGAAAGCACACTCCAGATGTTGTAGGAGCTAATCAAACAAGTTCAAGAACACTGTGGATCTCATCTTTGTTTGAGATTGCTGATCTAGAGAAAAAGGGACAGGTTCCATTGTCTAGAGCCATTCAACTCATCAAGGGACTTAACCCTGGTATGAAGACCTCAACAGTAGAGCTAAAATTTAAGGAAGTGCAGAAAGTTAGTGATAAATATGGCTGTAATATAACTTGTGATGTATTTGTAGAGGCCTATTGTGAACTGTGTACACGACCAGAGGTATTCTTTTTATTGGTTCAGTTTTCTAGCAATAAAGAGTATTTGGACTTAAAAGATCTGATGATCTTCATGGAAGTGGAGCAAGGTATGGAAGAGGTTAATGAAAATACAGCACTGGAAATCATCAATAAGTATGAACCTTACAAAGAAGGACGAGAAAAAGGATATCTCACAATTGATGGGTTCACCCGTTATCTTCTTTCATCAGACTGTAATATCTTTGATCCTGACCATAAAGTTGTCTGTCAGGATATGACAAGGCCATTATCACACTATTACATCAATTCTGCTCATAATGCATGCCATCTAGAGGACCACTACTGGGGCACATCTGACATTAGTGGCTATATACATGCCCTTAAGATGGGGTGTCGGAGCATTGAGCTTGTTGTTTGGGATGGCCCAGATAATGAGCCTCTCATCTACCTTGGTCTGTCTGTGGTTTCGCAGGTGGCTTTTCGAAGTGTCATAAGTGTAATAGACAAGTATGCATTTGAAGCATCAGAGTACCCATTAATCCTTTGCTTGGTAGTTCATTGCTCAGTTCGACAACAGCGTTTCATGGCCCAGTGCTTAAAAAAAATCCTTGGTGACAAACTTTACCTAGATCCACCGTTTCCTGATGAAAACTACTTGCCTTCTCCAGAACAACTAAAAGGCAAGATTATAATAAAAGGTAAGAAGCTACCTTCAGATAATACTGACTCGGATGGAGATGTAACAGATGAGGATGAAGGCATGGAGATTGCCAGGAGATTGGGTCAGGATGGTCGTGAACATCTTAACGAGGCTGGCCACAGAAAGCTGCGACTCTCTAAAGAACTCTCAGACCAGGTGACTCTGTGCAAGTCCATAAAGTTTAAGGACTTTGAAAACTCTAAAAGAAACCAAAAATACTGGCATGTGTGTTCCTTTAATGAGATTACTGCTAGTCGCTTTGCCAATGAGTATCCTGAAGAGTTTGTGAAATATAACAAAAGGTTCCTGTCAAGGGTCTACCCAAGTTCAATGCGAATAGACTCTAGCAATATGAACCCCCAAGACTTCTGGAAATGTGGTTGTCAAATTGTGGCCATGAACTACCAAATGCCAGGTCTTATGATGGATCTTAATACTGGATGGTTTAGACAGAATGGAAACTGTGGCTTTGTCCTACGTCCCTCAATAATGAGGGAAGAAGTATCCTATTTTAGCGCAAATGCAAAGGACTCTTTGCCTGGTGTTTCGGCTCAGCTACTTCACATAAAAATTATTAGTGGTCAAAACCTCCCCAAACCCAAAGGATCTGGAGCAAAGGGAGATGTGGTGGAACCATATATTTACATAGAGATACATGGAATACCCGCTGATTGTGCAGAACACCGGACAAAAACAGTTACACAAAATGGAGATAACCCAATATTTGATGACAGCTTTGAGTTTCACATAAACCTTCCAGAGTTGGCTATCCTGCGGTTTGTAATACTAGATGACGACTACATTGGAGATGAGTTCATAGCCCAGTATACTATCCCATTTGAGTGTCTGCAGACTGGCTTTAGACATGTTCCCCTACAGTCTTTAACGGGAGAGTTTCTCCAAAACACCACCTTGTTTGTCCACATTGCTATCACTAACCGAAGAGGAGGAGGAAAAGCACACAAGAGGGGTCTCTCTGTACGCAAAGGCAAGAAGGTTCGTGAGTATACATCAACAAAGACTACAGGCATCAAAGCAATTGATGAGGTGTTTAGAACAGCTACTCCTTCTCTTCGAGAAGCTACTGATCTTCGGGAAAATGTTCAGGTAATTCTCTTATACAGTATCGTTGCTTTTACTCCCTTTTCAAAAGGTTTTTTTTTAAATCTTCTCTGGGTAAAATTAGAGCTTTTGTGGTTCTGTATATATCAAAATATAATTGTCCCTTATGGTGCATTTTTCTTCCACTATATTCATATATCCTCTGTGTGCTACATTTTTCCTTTCTTGTTCCAACCTTTTAATTAAACATAAGCAAAATGGGTATTAAAATCTTGCTGTGCTCTCCATGAGCCTAATACAGAGTTTCTGAAATACTGTTCTGTAATTAGAACATGCTAACACTGGATTATTCTGCAAGTGAAACTCAAGCCTGTCCTAAGGTAACCTTGGCTGCAGCAGCCAGTGAGATTGGGCTGAGAGATACACATGGTTGATTGACATTTAAAGAGCACCTGTCACATCTGCAGGTCCGGAAAACTCATGTTTTTTCCTGTATGCACTATTTGAGTTTTGAAACAAAAGTGCAGTTTTCTTTCCTTCCCATGTTTAGTAGAGACCAAAAAGCTACACACTTTGGAGATGATTTCTAGCTTTCATAAACCAGGACTTGTGTTTACTGATGTGGGAACTTTGTCTGAGAGCCAACCACTATGTGTTTATTAAATTGAGCACATGGTAGAAGCTGTTTACTTTTTCAGACTCTCTCTCTGAATACAACTTCATAGGGCCCTGTCTAAACATGTGGGGGGGATTTCTAGAGCTCCACTTAACAGCTGGACAACAAAATAATAGCATGCTGTATTTTATATTTATAATGCTAAAATATTTTTTACAGATTTTTATTTTATAACTGCAACAATAATAAAAAATGTATACGAAAAGCACTATACATTACATACATGTTATAGTGTATTATGTACAAGTGTTCTCATATAAAGCTGCACTGTCCTGAGGGTGCTTGACTACATATAACGCAAAAGGGTTCTTGCAATAGATGGCAACACGTAGAAACAATGTTAGTAGTAGGAAGTCACCAGCACTCCGAACTAGAGCTGCAGCTAACGATTATTTTCAAAATCGATTAGTTAGCCGATTATTAAGTTCGATTAATCGGTTAATCGGATAAACAATAAAAAAAAATTAAAAATGGTTCCAGTGATGGGACTACTAGTTTGTATTGAGATTGTAGTCCATCACAGGAGTAAGCTTGGAGCGGTGGATAAAAATAGTGTGGTGTGCAATATAGTGAAAAGGAAAGTGTAAAATTATACAGCAATGAATGCAGAATTGCACCGGCTATAGAGGACTACAACAAATCCCAGCAATAGTACATTATAGCTGGTGGTATTCTGCATTGCGCTGTATAATGTACTATTGCTGGGATTTGTAGTCCTCTATACAGTGCAGTGCAGAATATCACCAGCTATATAGGAATACAACAAATCCCAGCAATACATTATACATACAGTGTATAATGTATTGCTGGATGTGTATTCCTATGTATAATATACAGCACAATGTACCATAAGCTATAGAGGAATACAAATCCAAGCAATACATTATAGAGCACCATGTGGGGGGGGGAAAGTGCACGCTTACCTGAGCAGTCTTCCAGCAACTTGCTTCTGAGATCGGACCTGTCTATCAGTGGCTGTCATCCCCCCACACCTGCTCCTCCTTACTACATCTCCCCGCGTCCCTGTGCCAATCGTGGATGTGGGCGGGCGGTGAGTGTGAGGCGGGGAGGAGGTGCGGCGTGGATGCGGGCGGGCGGGTCTGGCAGCGGCGAGCGTGAGGTGGGGAAGAGGTGCGGCGCGCAGCGTGTGTGGAGCCGTGAACAGGGCCAACTGATTGGAAGCCGATTAATCGATTATTGAAAAAGTTGACAACTTTTTCAATAATCGATTATAATCGATTATGTTGATTAGTTGTTGCAGCCCTACTCCGAACATGCATTGAAAAAGTTATTGTGAACACAGCATGTCACCTGTCAAGATGCCAATGTTATGTGGCCTGGCATGTTTCTCTTCCTCTGGATGATTTTGTGACGACTAGTTGATACATTAGCAAAACATATGTAAAGCTCTGTAACCCCCAGCACCCAGACTTCTTCACCCCCATATGACTTCACAAGCCCACCAAAATACACGTAATCATTTTGAAAAATCATCATACCATGCCATGATATTTCTGGGAAGACATAAATAGGACACCCTCGTTTTTGTGTGTACATCCTTTTGGATTCTAGCAAAATAAGGGGGTCCAATGCGGAAAAAGGAGGGGAGAGTATACCCCTTGTTTAGCTGTACCAACTACACCAGGCACCACAGGAGAGCAAAACGTGCAACAAGGTGTTATGGACAATCCAATAGCAACTTAAACTGGCCATACTCGACTAAAATTCCTGCTGAGTCAGCCAACATTTTTATATAAACTAAAAAGAAACAAAAACATTTTATGTTATTTGTTCTAGTTGATAGGGTATATCATATGTCTGGGATTTCAGTTTATTTTGGGAGTTATAGGTCATAAAATACAAGGAGTGAAATACAATTTTAGAATGTGGTATGTTTCTCTCCTATCTTTAATAGCCTCCTCAGCACTATATTTTCTTATAATATATTTTTAATAAACTTATTTTTTTAAAATATTTTTATAAACCTTTTTCTTTTTTTAACTTTTTTAAATGTAATTATTTTTTTAACTTGGGGGCACTAAGGGGTTATTTTTGTATTTACAGGGTCTTTGATACATAGTATCTCTAAGTAGAATACAGTATTCTCAGAAATACTTTGTATCAATTTTGTAACACGCAACTTTTACAACTCTGCATAGTTACATAGTTACATAGTATTTGGGGTTGAATAAAGACATATGTCCATCAAGTCCAACCCATATAGGTCCACGCATCTCATTCTTAAGGAAACTAGACTACTAGTTTCTATTGAGATTGTAGTCCATCACGGGAGCAAGCTTGGCGCGGTGGAAGTAAAATGCTTTGCTAATGTATATATTGATTATTGAATTCCCCTAAAGCACGGGGACCCTGCAGGAGCCCAAAACATTGGCATCTTGACCTTATGTGATATGATGTGTTCACAATCCATTGTTGAAGCACATATTGTGAGTGATGGGGCCTTCCTACTACTACCATAGTGTATTATATAGCCGAACACCATAAATAGATTTTGACCACTTAGATAAGATAAAGAGCAGTGTACGAAATAAGGTTTCCTTTGGCATCCAATAAGCAGTAGTCTTCATTGCTCTGAGGCCCAGTTTACATCTGAGCAATCCAAGATCGTGCGGCGATCCGCAGAATCACACACAAACACAAACTTCATTTGTAATGGAACCCCAATCACGGCTAGCATTCTGCACGGTGGCATGCCGCTGTGCAATCACGCACAATCAGAGCTGCAAAAAACTGTGGCCCAATCATCGCACAAAAGGTGCATGAGCCTTTTTGCCGTGCCAATACGACCCCAGTAAAATCAACGGGGCTGCACAGTCCCGGGCCACCAAAATGTGAACCAGGACTAACCGTCATAAACTGATGCTACGTAAAAAGTATTTATTGCTATGTGGTTGCTGTATCCTGCACTTTTGAGAATTGCTCTTTGCCCTGCTTTTCTGCACGAGCCTCTTGAAAGTCTTCATTTGCTAATAATGGACCTGCTATAAAGTTTCAGAACTAAAATACAGATCAAAAACTCCACCAGCAGATAATATAATAACTTATATAATAAAAAATTTAAAGCATTTGTCAAAAACAAATCAGGAGCAAGCAGCTTAGGGAGACAGTGATGCCCCTCCATAGATACAATACTGTGAGTGAGCATTGTCAAGTAAGGACAGGAACTGTGTAACTGGAATTAACAGGTGAAAATAAAAGGAAAAAAGACAACAACAAAAAAGCTGTAATACATTACCTGTTTTTTCTTGAGTTTAGAACACACTTTAAAAAGTATACTTGCTTTTGTATCAAATGCATATTATTTAGTAAAAAAAACATATGAAATATAATAGTATAGGGTAATAAGAGATGATGTGACAGTATTTTCATATGTACAGATGACGATACACACAATTTAAAGTTAAACTAGTATGTCACGGGTGAGTTTCTGTATAAGTGGCAATCTTTCAGTAGGGCAGAAGCAGTTCTGTTTTTAACTAAACAACCAGTTTGTGTCTATAATATGGACATTAAGACATATTTACTAAAGGATTTGTTCAAACAATTTGTGTAAACAACTCTCTTCAATTATCCAGTCGTGCAGAAGGAATAAGTAATCGTCACACAATATATTGTGTAAACATTCTCAAAGTTTTTAGTAAATCACCTTATATACTTGAATTATCCAGTTTTTATTTGATTACTTTTTTCTTCTTTCAGTATCTGGACATTAATTGTTTCCAACATTTAAGAAAAAAGTGAAAATCTAGGGGACTAATATTTTTTAATTTAATGTTGTTTAAATGTTTTTGCACAAGATTCACAAAACTTTTACCCAGCATTCATATATTTTTCTGATTGAAGTTAATAAAAAATGTGACTCGTAGGTGAAAGCTGTATGAATTTTGTGTGAAAATCTTTTATAAATAGACCCTTTTGTTTACTAGATCTGCATTTGTAGAAATTATTTTTATTGAGCTAATTTCTACCTTCACATGCTCAGGTTTAAAAAAAAACTAAATTGATCTTCGGTTGCTCAGAATTTTTGGATGACAAAACCAAATGATGAAATAGGATGCTATAGTAGGGTAGGCAAACCCAGGACCTCCAGCTGTGGTAAAACTACAAATCCCATAATGCATCTGCCTCTGGGAGTCATGCATATGGCCTGTCAGAGTCTTGCAATGCCTAATGGGATTTGTAATTGCACCACAGCTGGAGGGCCAAAGTTTGCCTACCTCTGCCTTAAAGGTATTTGCTAAACCTAAAACAATCTTAGAAGATAGCTTTGGGTTAGGTCGGTGATGGGTAATAGAGGGCTGGCAAACTGGGAATCAGTTTGCAGGGACTACTAAATGCTTTCTAAACTTGTAAATGTGTTTGACCAAACTTACAAGTATCAAGGGGGCAAGGGCTGGCACTAAATTTGCCAACTGGCAAACAGTAGTGATTAGAACAAGCTTTCATGTGCTCACTTCCTGGTCTAGCTGAAAATTGCTGCATCAAGGGACACCCTTAACCTCAGGACTTTGGGGGCCTTTAAAATTATAAGAATTGTTTTTCAGTGGCAGCTGCTGGAATGCGCAGCAATTGGTGTGAATGGGCCCTAAGTGATGTCTCTTGATCGGATCACATTCTTTCTTCCAGTATTTTCCCGCAGTCCCTCCAGTAGTTTCTAGCCTATGCCGGTCTCTGATCCAGTGCAGACTCCTCGAGTCCCACGGTCTGTCTGGCGTGCACGCTCACGGCTGCACGCATTGACTTCTTTTGAGTCTCTCTTCTCCCCACCGGTCCCCATCTCCACTGCGCATGTGCTCACCCAGATCTTCCTCCATGGCAGTTCGGAGAAGTTCGGGGTCTGTCCGGTGTGCACGCTCACGGCTGCACGCATTGACCATTGACTTCTTTTGAGTTTCTCCTCTTCTCCCCACCGGTGATCTCCACTGCGCATGTGCTCACCCAGATCTTCCTCCATGGCAGTTCGGGGAAGCTGGATGCTGCAGCCATGAGCGAGCTGAGGAGACAGAAGTACCTATTTGGTAACTTTTTATTTTTGAAAATGTTTTAGTGAAATATGTAAAAAATAAGACTTTCATTCCACTGTAAGGGTAGTCATTTTTCATTTTCCTTAGTAATGAATATCACTTTTTGTATTAGATTATTTGTGTACTAACCATCATTTCTCTTGTTCTAGAATGCTTTAGTATCTTTCAAGGAACTATGTGGCTTGACTCCAACTGCCAACATGAAACAATGTATCTTGACTGTGTCTGCATGGTTACTAAACAGTGACAGCCCTCTCAATGTGACACTCAACCTCCGCTCCCAGTACCCACTGCTAGAGGCTCATGGGCCAGTTCCTGATCTCTTAAAGAAAGTCCTTACATCTTATGAAGTGGTAAGTCTGCATATTCCTATTAGACTCACCTTTTGGAAATGGTATGCATGCTTTTTTTATACTGGCTGTTTATTTTCATTCCAAAAAATAGGTAAAATACCAAACCACTATAAAAATGTAGTATGCTATTAACCAATAGTAATTCATTAATGGCATATATAAAGGATATGATGGTATTCTATTTGTAGTGATCACCACACAAGTTTTGCTTTATTATATTAATGTTAAAACTGATTATATAAAAGTTAAACCACATCCAGTTCACAATTTGGCATCTATAAAAATGATAATTTCTTTAAAAGACCTTTGTATACATTAAACCCATATTTAGGGTGTAACATGAAACATGGTCACATTCCCCAGCCGCCCACTCTAATACTGCCCCAATCAACTAATTATAGGGTGCTTCTCCCTGCAGCATTTACATTTTTGTTGAGTATAGCCCGGCTTTGTGTGGCTTCACCCACACAGCCACGTCATTCATTCATGAGGATTTGTAAGTGGGAAAACTAAAAGTTTATGTCACTGCTGCATTGCTTCTTAGTGGGTCTGTCAAAGATGCTTCAAACTGGTCTGTGGCTTATCAAAATAGGCTATAGTAAATAGTTACGGTCTCCCCAGTTATGAATGGACAGGAGGCGATGTGTGCAGAGAACATCCTCCCCATAAAGTGATGAGATGGTAACTGTTTATTATGTCCCCAGTCATGAGTGAACAGATAAGTGATGTATATCACTTCCTGTTCATTCATAACTGGGTACATAGTAAACATTTTACTATCTCAATTATTTACAAACATCGGAGTGATCAGTACTGATCACTCTGGTGTTGCTCAGTACAGGGAAGACATATTTACTGATCCCACACTCTCTATCCTGAACCTGCACCGCCTGTCCCAGGAGCTCTCCTCCCCGCACCGCCCCACTCAGCATCCTGAGACGGTTATGCCACTGCTCTCTCCTCCCCACTGGGCACTGGTAGGTGCATCAGTTCTGTGTCCCCTCCGATCCCTGTTGCTTCTGCCGATACAGGCGGGGGAGAACAGCAGGCATCAGAGGGGACACACAGCCGGTCATGATGCTGGCGCTCAGCGGAAAGGAGGGAGCGGTAGTGGCGGCAGTCGAGATGAGGGGCTCTATCTGAATGAATACCTGCCATCAGCCGCTTGTCAGCCCCTGATGACAGCTATACATTTACACAGGTAAACTAACTCCCAGTGGCTATAGCCACCAGAAATCCATTTACAGGGGCCTGCTGCCAGCGACGTATGGCATATGCCGCTGGTGGCAGGAGAGTTGAGGACAGCTGCACTTCAGCCTCCCTATGGCTCCTAACTGTTTAACTGTTCCCCTCTCTGCCTCGAGGCCCATAGCGGCCACAAGGGCTGCTATGGTGGTAGTTCCCCACTGATCTGCATGCTAGTGTAGGAAATGTGCAACTCCCTCTAACATGCCATGGCCTGTAGATGTTCTTTTTTTCTTTGGGCCAGACATACTGTTCTTAGGCATATGTCTGTTTCATCTGCTTATCTTAAAGCTGCCATGCTCGCACACTATGGGGGCAGCGATGTTACCAGGTGTCGCATACATATTCCACTTACTGCAGTGTGTCAGAAGCCTGGAACTGCGGGAAGCTTTCTCTCCATAGACTTACATGAGCTACCTGCATGCTTCTCCGGGTGCATCAAAACACAGGCCTGCACGCTATATGGGGTGTCCTGTGTGAATGATGCCAAATTCAGTAACTGAAGAGCAGTGATGATGTGGGAAAGGCAAGTAACCAGTACTAACAGGGCAGATTTCACTGATTTCCTGATAAAGAGAGACCATTTCTGATCAGTTGATATGGGTTACTGCACATGCATTTTTTTTCTGATGAAATAATAAAGTGCCAAGTCTCAGTGCAAACAGAAAATACGGATGCCTCTCGTGCTCTGTCTGTACTTTGTGGCTACCTGGGATACAGATCACCCTTTGACGTGCTGCATATTGATTTTGTGAAAACAGCCTTTTGTCACACAGTATGTACTTAGCTCTTTCCATCACCCTTCTTGAAAAAAGAATACTTCGTATTTATTATTTTGAAAGCATGGCAGACCTCCCTTGTGAGTTCTCACCCAATTGTGTGTTGAAGGTCGCTCTGTATACAAATGGGGGTGGAGGAGATGCTATAGCTGGAACATTGTGAGTCAGTACGAGAAAAATAAAACACTTCACTGCCCACTTAATGCAGGGTACATATGAAGCGGAGAAAGTCATTTATGTGAATGAACAAGGCTGCCCTGGACGTCGTATACTAATATGGAAGTATAAAAATAGCAGGCTGCATGTGTGGGAGTTCTCTCTATTCCTGTTATAAACACTTACCTTGCTTTTACTAACAGAGATAATCAGGATGGTCATGACATGCCACACAATGCCTGACCTGAGGCTACCTTGCAAATAGGGAGCTGTTTGACAATTCCTATCTAGCAGGAAGAGGATAAGACCTCTTACATGTGCCCCAATGCACTAACACACTTGATAGAGAAAGCAAAGCAGACGTGCACAGTACAGTTTACTGAAGTCAGATCACTGGGTGATAAATTCTGACTTAAAGCTGAATCAGCAAATATTGTCTAAATACAACAGGCGTGTGCGTTCTTACTTGAATATTGCTGTTTTTGTTGTATTTCTTTCAGATGTACATTAATCCAGTGTGACTCTTTCGTTCTGTGCTAGAGCTTCCTGTAATACAGACCAGTCACTGGTGCTCTCCCTCCTTTTGCAGGATCACTGGTCTTGTATCTTGTCACGAAAAGAGGACCAGGGGAGGGTGCCGCGGGGGTACAGGGTTGCGTAAAGGCCAGACGATGTGTGGGCTATCACTTTCCTTCACTTGTCCTCATAGATTGGCCAGCCCGCTGGCTGATTGTCACGAGAACCCCCAGAGTGCCTCCCAGTCCACAGACGTGACAGTAGCAGAGGTAAAATACAACACGCACACACAAATGAACTAATCTAAGCTGCCACCACCCACAACTTACAGGCAAAACGTTTTAGTGTCTGTCTGTCTGTCTGTCTGTCTGTCTGTCTGTCTGTCTGTCTGTCTGTACATTCTGCGCTCAAGCAGACTGACACAGGCTTTGCAGACCACACATGCTGCTCTCGTTAGCATTTACAGGTTAGTTAAACCAGGCACAATTACCCCCAGTTAATACATCCCACTCGCAGTCTCCCACATTACAGCTGGTCACCACTGGAGGGAGAATCACACAACTCAAGCTGGCTGGACACACAAAGGCAGATGCCAATTTCGCATACCATCTAGTGTACTCTAATTTTTTGTGTGGCAGCCAAAGTGGTACTCTCACACCCTTAATATTCCCCAAGCTCTCCTCTCAGCTAGGATACTGGCATTGCCATTTCCTCCACTGCCCACACACACACCTACAGGTGAAACTCGAATAATTAGAATATCGTGCAAAGTTCATTTATTTCACTAATGCAACTTAAAAGGTGAAACTAATATATGAGATAGACTCATTACATGCAAAGCAAGATCATTCAAGCCGTGATTTGTCATAATTGTGATGATTATGGCTTACAGCTCATGAAAACCCCAAGAACCCCAAATCCACAACCTCAAAAAAGTAGATTATTACATGCAATCAATAAAACAAGGATTGTACATAGAACAATATCGGACCTCTGAAAAGTACAAGCATGCATATGTACTCATTACTTGGTTTGGGCCCCTTTTGCAGCACTTACTGCCATTACTTTTGCACGATATTCTAATTATTCGAGTTTCACCTGTACATCAGACACACAGATCCCTGACTGGAAATGACTTACAATCAAGCTTCTAGGCACTGATGATACAGATGATCAATTATCCACATACAATAGATACACAACAGTCTCTTCAGATTCGTGCGCGCAATCAAATACCAGCTTATTAATTTTATATTTCATATCCCTAGATGGGCAGTGCATAGAAAAGGGTAGAATTGCAAAAAGTTACAAAAACAGAAGTTATAACACTTAGACATGCATACAAGCAATCAGTATTAAAATAAAAGGGATAAACTTACAGAAATTATTACTACGGCTGCTTTCAAGGTTGGATGGAAAATGTGGACACACCTCCACACCAGTGGACCCCTTGAATGTGACATTTTCTTGGTTTCACATCACCATTGTTATGCTCTAGAGATGAAAACCAGTTTCCACCCCCTGAGACCAACCAATCAGATGGAAGGGGCTGGAGACTGCATACAGTATTTTCACCTGGGTCTCGGGTATCATTTTTCTATTAACCATCTTTAGACCCTCATAACTGTTTCCAGTTGTAAATTATGGATCCGAGATTGATGGTTCTGGTTCCAGCTATTCTGCTATATACAGTCCAAACTCTGGCACTCTACGGCTAACAGAACCCGAAATACGATAAAGAGACCCAATTATCAGAACTCCTCCATATTTTATCCTAAAATCCTCATGTTTCGTGTCAGGCAGTTCGTCTTTGTACCACTACTCCTTTCCCTGAAGGTTTTATGATCATATGTTGCACGGGATGGGAGTTATGAGATATGCCTTTTTTTTCTTTTTTTTTACTTTTCTTAGACACTAATATTGAAAAACACATATTATTATTATTATTATTATACAGGATTTATATAGAGCCAACAGTTTGCGCAGCACTTTACAATATAAGGAAAACATTACAATCACAATTCAAGACAAGATGGTAAGGAGGGATTTGCCCATGAGGGCTTACAATCTAAAAGGGAAGGGCAAGTGATACATGAGGAGGTAGCTGTGTGGGGATGAATTGTTTGAGAAAGTGATGGTTCAGTGGTTAGGTTGAGGTGGGATAGGCTTCCTTGAAGAGATGAGTCTTAAAGGGATTGCCTAAAGCCAGTCAGAATGGGAGATAGACGAATAGGTTGGGGTAGAGAATGTCATAGGATGGGAGAGGCTCTAGTGAAGTCCTGGAGGCGAGCATGGGAGGAGTTG